GACAACATCCACAGCCTTCCCCTCATCCACTTCGCAATAAGTTTTTTTTATAGTGGACATTTATCAGCACTGTATGTTTACAGTGCAAAGCAACTGAAGCTTTTCGTTCTTTACTGCATTCCTAAAAAAACCCACATGCACAAAAATACATCTACATTTGAGGTTTGCAACAACAAAGAACAGAACGCCAGTTTTGGGCATAATAGATAAACTAGTTCAATTCAGTACCTTTTGGAAGACATAACCTAAAAAGTACATCAAGCTAGTCAATACGATACAGAATTCTTTGTATCCCCTATAAAGTCTTTAACAAAGACAGTACTATAGCAATGCAACCATTTGCAAGCCACTTTGAAAATCTAAACTTACGACTTATAAACAAAGCTAATCTGAAATGAGAAACATGCTTTAGTGGGGAGTCTATGCAGCGAGTAGGCTCAGTGCTGTTCAAGCATATCTTAAATGTCCAGATTATTTCAGTAGGAAAGAGAATCTTTTCTTTAAATTCAAATACTTCATGCCTTATTATATGCCCTCTTGAAATGCCATACAAACTGTTGTAAATGTCAGAGAAAGCATCCACAGCCCTCCGTGTAGATGTAAAATGACACTGCAAGGTTTGTAACACTCTGTATTGAGCAGCATTAACCCTGCTAACTGGCACAGAAATACTGCTACATGAAAAAAAAAAAAAAGTACAAATGTATTCCTTCAGGGGAAGCATTCATCTGGAACAAATTTTTTGTTTATGGGTGCTTATGTACATTAGAGCCAACATCATTGAAAGAGGTGGGTCTGTACGAGGATCGTCAACTGAAATCACATTGCAACAGAAGATCGGTGCTTGAATTTCATGCTGATTCCATCTGAAGAGATTGCTAGTGAGAGTGGTATTTCACATTCAGGCAAAAAGGCCAGCATTAAGAAGCGACCATTAACTCTGGATGCCTTCAAACTTGGTGAGCACCCACCCTCTGAGAAAACAGGCCTCTACGTTGTCGCATGTTGGATAACTTGCAAAAAAAATTGACTACTGTTTTTTAACATTTTAGATAAGTTCTTCACCCAATGCTCCCCCTCTTCGCAATTTTACTGAAACCCATACAGAACAAAGTCCTAAGTTTTCGACACTTCCAGGTGAAATAAAACGTTGGTCTCCGACTAACTTTTAGCAAATGTGCAAGGCATTAATATCCTTGTTAAACAAGTCAGAAAACTCTAGGCAACACTTGCATGATAACAAAGTGTCATCGCTAATCTATGCCAAGTGTATTCAGAAATGGGTGGAATATACTCGCTGGGAAACACGAGCCAGCATGCTCCACACTTCTGCTATACTGAAGACCCATTGCTAGAACTGCTGCTACATCTCAGCAGGTACACGCAGGACCACCTCAATTTTTTTTTCCTTGCATGGAGGAAGAAGATAGCTACTGGGAACAGAAAACACAAAAATTAACATTTCAGAAGATGAAAAAAATGTATTTTTCTCCTCCTCGGCTGCAGCTCCTGGTTCCTTAAGCTGCCTTCCTCTGAAAAGCTCTTTCTGAAACTGCCGAGGCCAGGCAAAACAAGAAACTTGACCTGTAGAGAGTGCATCTCTTTATGTGTAATCATGTAAAGCATGTAATCACGAACTTTAAAATACAGCCAAGGGAGAAATGCTGGCAACAGTTAGATAGGCAGTTTCTGGTGGTCCTTCTTGGTGGCCTATGTTTGTAACAGAGGAAGACTAGCGAGTGCAATGCTGTGCTGTGCAAAACACTGCTGAACTAGTAGCACAAGCTATCCCTAATAACTAGGCATTAACCTTCAGCGCTTAGTCCAGAGCATTCTCAACCATGTTAATGCAATTCAGCTGACTGTTCACAAGATTGTCAGTTCATTTGTGAAAAGGCAAATAAGATGATTCCTGTTTCTTAAGACAGGTTTTTCTGCCTTTCTTTAGTATCCAGAGATGCTAGTCATGTTTCACCAAGAAACTGCATAGCTAAGCATCTCACTAAATGAGACAAGCTTTATTCTTCCTTAATTACACACAACAGCTAGAGAACAGACTTCACTTGCCAACGTGGGGCAAAATAACTGTCACAAAGTGAACTTAAAGATCAGTTTTGCTCCTCTCCCAAGCCATAAAATACATAAGTAACATAAATAAAACTTAAAGATGAAAGCACAAATGAAGTGAGCTACAAGAGCCAGTGCACAGAGTTTCCAAGGGAAGGACTGCAATTTCCATGTCGATGCAGAGACACTAGTCTCTGTGCAGCCAGCTTGCAGATGGAGCAGTAGCGCATAGGAAAAAGCTGGATGTATCATGTAATTTAGGTTTAAAACAATATAATTTTAGTTTAAATGGGTATCTTAAATTACAGGATCTGCTACAGAAAAAAAATCCCACACAATCTGTATTAACATTTCAGTCCCTCTGAGCTATCATCAATTGTACAAAAGTGAAAACAGCCAGTGAGGTTATAAGGCTGTTGTCTTGCCTGTAATTTGGTTGCCACTTTGCAGTAATGTTCTGTGATTTAGCTGAAAAAGAAACCTAGATCTTTTTTTATTTCTAAAGAGAAAAGAAACTTTAGAAGTTTTAAATATCTGATTTCAGCATTTCAGAGAGGGAAGGACACTCAGCAGACCTCTGTCTCCCAGGAGCTGGAAGTCTACTCACCTTTCCTTGACTTGGTCACTGCCAGCTGGTGAGAAGCTGGAACGTGTGGCAGATCCCCCTCCGTACTCTGGATCTATCGGGAAAAGGAGACCAATATTCTGTCAGGCCAACTGGAATATGTTCCTGTGCTTAAGAATGACCAAGCTATATACATTGCACATGCCAGGGCAAAAAAGTTGGTTTTTTTTCTCCAGTCCAACAGCTTATAATGATTAAGGGAGCAAGTAACATCTCCTTGTTATAATAATAACAACTTGTTATTTCATCAGGTACTCAGCAATGCTCCTGGAGAACAGTGATCCATAGGACATCATCCCTTACTCACAGTGCAGGGCTCCACTTGTTACATTCTTCATGCAAGAAGACCTAGAAATCACATCCTGTGACAACACTGAGAGTTCTCAGTTCCTTTTTGATGGAAGACTAAAATAATTGTGTGAAAACACCTTTGACACCTTTACACTACTGTCTGTCCCATTCAGCACTCTTGGCCCCTCATTTGAATATAAAAAACAAGCAAAATACATTTAGAAAAATATATCAAGAGATCAGCACATAAGAATTGTCATCTGCTGCCCTACCAACTATCTCCCACAAGCCACCAATCCTCCAGAAGGACCCAGACCCTGCCAGAACCTACTCCAGACTTCACCACGCCACTACTCGTGGAAATACTTCTTGTGTCTTCCTGTACAAGAAAGGAAGATAATGTATTCGGAGCCATGCAGATTTCAACTGGGAAACTTAAAATTACATGAAAATTAATCCTATTAAGTAATCACTTTGTAACACAGCCATATTAAGAAAGCAGTTCTCAGACAACCGTTCAAACAATGAAAAGAACATGCCTAAAATCTCAACAGGGAGGCCTTCATTTAGTTAAAAACCTAGAATACGTTTTCTCTTTTATGTGCTCCAGAAAAAATCCTAATGGTTCACATGCAAGTCTACATGCACAAAACCCCCAATCCAACAACCCTCAGCTCTTCCCTCTAACAGGCTGCCTGCCTAATTTCAAAACTACCAAGCAATGAAATCTGCATCTCCATTCTTGATCAACTTAAAAACACAAAATCAGGAGACTGATGGTTTTAAGCCCAAATTAGTATTTGGCTAAAGCAGCAGCTATATTTGCATTGATATCATATGTCTAGCAGCCACAAGGGTGCATTTTCTCAGTTACAAGGGTTTTGAGAAGTACTTGGCCTGAACATTAATAAGTGATAGCATTACTCTTGCACAATAAGTTAAGAGGCTTCTGTTTCTTTAGGAGATGAAGGCTGTACCAAATGGGTAAACCTTTATTTTGTCCAAATGCAGGGGAGCATAGAAGGGGCTCACTGTTTAAGTTTTTAAAAAGTTAAAAAACAACAAAAAAAAAGGAAGAGCAAGTAATCTTAGAGGCCCTTTGATCAGACTGGCATTCCGGGAAAGCTGTCTTGATTCTCCCAAACCTCCCAGTTGCCGATGGCTAACTTTGCAGCCTCCCAACAGCTAAGCCTCTCCTCATCTAAATACCCTCCACCTCCTGCCCTTGTCTGGGAGATGGCATCCTGGCTGCACCCACAGCACGGCGCAGCTCCACGAGCGCACCGAAGCACTCCCCTCTCCTTCCCCTGTCCCTTCAGCCAATACTGGTGCTGGTGAACGACCTTCAGGACTGTAACTGGCCGCCTCAGGAGCGGGTGTTTGGGGGAAATCCTGCCCTGACTCACTCCCGCACTAGCTATCTTCACAGCCACAGACTTCCGAAGGGCACTCGAACCTCCAAGGCATTCGTAAGCATGGAAAGAGCTGCCTTGATAGATCTGTCATCTTTCGTACGTGTATGAATGCACTCCAAGCCAAGCTGGGAAAACGGGAGGAGGAGTTATTGTCACTATTTCTAATACAGTTTATTATTCATTATACCCTGCCTAGAAACACACAAAAATAAAATCATGCTGCCAGGTATTGTTCTAAAGTTTCTTCAACAAAACCCAATCCCTCCCTCCCAGGGATCTGTAGGCAGTTGATATGTATGTATCATATTGTGTAAACAAAAATTTACCACAATCCCACCCCACATCGCATGTTGCCTTGCCAAAACAGCTGTGTTTATGTACTGGCATCATTGCAAAGTGTGTCAACCAAAACTTCGCAAACGCATTGCATTTGGCTTGTGCAGAATTCGGCAAGTCCTCTTCATGTCATAACCCTTTACAGTCCAACCTAGTCTGAAGGAAAATTCCATTCCTTTTTTTTTTTTTTTTTTTAATATATTAGCTGTTTCAACTTTGCCCAAGAGCACCAAAAAATGTATTTCTCTTCTGGGATATACGGCAAATGCATTGCCACTCAGACCCCTCCCACTGTGTCAACACAAATGTCTGTGCAGCTACACAACAAACTGGATCAAGAAAATTATCCAACTGAAAACTAAGCCAGGAAAAATAAATCAATCAAAATACACTGGGTTTCTTTTTCCCTCTCTCAGCTGGACCAATCCTTTGTTCTGGGTTGAGTAGATGGCCACACAACATGTGAGTGATGACACACAAGCACAAACAAGTGGCAGGAACTACAAAAGGCTGGATTACCTTTTCCTACTTAATGAGTGCCTTCAGCTACAACATTAGTCGATCTAGAAGAGCTTGTAATGACAATAAGACACTAGATGCAGTATATACTAAACCATCACTTCATTGCTGTAAAAATCAGGGGTTTTCTATTCACTTGCTTTCTTCACTCATTTCACCAATGAAATCACAGTCCTTCATTTTACATAACTATTTCACATAGACAAAAAAATTAACTGCTGAACTGTTAACATGAACCACTTTGAAATGTGTCCACAAAAACATCTACTAATTTAAGACAGATCTTACAATTCAAGGTGTGAGCCTACACAAGACATTGCATTCTTGAATTTGTAGGCTGCACGTTTACTAGTCAAATAAACAAAGCACTTACAGGAACCTGGGAATTAAAACCCCTTTGGGACATTTATTAATCAAAAAATGGATACATACATTTATAAAGATATTAAAAGGCAGCTAGCACAGAATTTGTAACTAAGTCATAGCCAAAGGCACGTCAAACAACAGCTTTCAGAGTGCTAATTTCCAGAGACTAAACAAATTGACATACAGTAGATTGTCATCAAAACCAAAAGTTGCACAAGATGAGCACCTTACCCTACATGATAGGTCCTTTCCCTTTCATGCAACAACACTCTTGCTCCATCCACAAATTCATCCTTAATCAATATCAATTGATAATCTGCATTTACTTTTAGGCAACAAAAACAATGACTTCCAGTTAGAAATTTAAGCAAAGGAAAAATGTAAAACCAAAGGCTTTTATATACACAAAGCCTAATCTAGATCTGTTTCCACAGAAAAAGTTCCTAGCAGTTTTGCCAGTGACTGCGATTACCTGAGCTCAATGAAAAAAAGAATGAGGACTTTCCTGCTG